TTCCATTTTCATGTCATTTTGGTTGGGCTGGAAAAAGGTATATAGTCTCTGTAGGGTTTCTTTTGTCATCTGTCTATCTTTTGGGGAGATTTGCCCCATCGTTGGTGTCAGTGGGAGGAATAGTGCCCCATCATTGGTGTCAGTGGGAGGAATAGTGCCCCATCATTGGTGTCAGTGGGAGGAATAGTGCCCCATCACTGGTGTCAGTGGGAGGAATAGTGCCCCATCATTGGTGTCAGTGGGAGGAATAGTGCCCCATCATTGGTGTCAGTGGGAGGAATAGTGCCCCATTGTTGGTATCAGTGGGAGGAATAGTGCACCATCGTTGGTGTCAGTGGGAGGAATAGTGCCCCATCATTGGTGTCAGTGGGAGGAATAGTGCCCCATCATTGGTATCAGTGGGAGGAATAGTGCCCCATCATTGGTGTCGGTGGGAGGAATAGTGCCCCATCATTGGTGTCGGTGGGAGGAATAGTGCCCCATCATTGGTGTCAGTGGGAGGGATAGTGCCCCATCATTGGTGTCAGTGGGAGGAATAGTGCCCCATCATTGGTGTCGGTGGGAGGAATAGTGCCCCATCATTGGTGTCAGTGGGAGGGATAGTGCCCCATCATTGGTGTCGGTGGGAGGGATAGTGCCCCATCATTGGTGTCAGTGGGAGGGATAGTGCCCCATCATTGGTGTCGGTGGGAGGGATAGTGCCCCATCATTGGTGTCAGTGGGAGGAATAGTGCCCCATCATTGGTGTCATTGGGAGGAATAGTGCCCCATCATTGGTGTCAGTGGGAGGAATAGTACCCCAATCTTTCTTGTCAGTGGGAGGAATAGTGTCCCATCATTGGTGTCAGTGGGAGGAATAGAGCCCATCATTGGTGTCAGTGGGAGGAATAGTGCCCCATCATTGGTGTCAGTGAGAGGAATAGTGCCCCATCGTTGTCAGTGGAATAGTGCCCCATCCTTGATGTCTGTGGGAGGGATAGTGCCCCATCGTTGGTGTCGGTGGGAGGGATAGTGCCCCATCATTGGTGTCATTGGGAGGAATAGAGCCCATCATTGGTGTCAGTGGGAGGAATAGTGCCCCATCATTGGTGTCAGTGAGAGGAATAGTGCCCCATCGTTGTCAGTGGAATAGTGCCCCATCCTTGATGTCAGTGGGAGGGATAGTGCCCCACCATTGGTGTCAGTGGGAAGAATAGTGCCCCATCGTTGGTGTCAGTGGGAAGAATAATGCCCCATCGTTGGTGTCAGTGGGAAGAATAGTGCTTTATTGTTGGTGTCAGTGGGAAGAATAGTGCCCCATCGTTGGCGTCAGTGGGAGGGATAGTGCCCCCATGTTGGGGTCAGTGGGAGGAATAGTGCCCGTCGGTGTCAGTGGGAGGAATAGTGCCCCATCATTGGTGTCAGTGGGAGGAATAGTGCCCCATCATTGGTGTCAGTGGGAGGAATAGTGCCCCATCATTGGTATCAGTGGGAGGAATAGTGCCCCATCACTGGTATCAGTGGGAGGAATAGTGCCCCATCATTGGTGTCAGTGGGAGGAATAGTGCCCCATCATTGGTGTCATTGGGAGGGATAGTGCCCCATCGTTAGTGAAATACTGTCTCATTGGTGTCAGTGACCGGAATAGTCATTGGTGTCAGTGGGAGGAATAGAGCCCATCATTGGTGTCCGTGGGAGGAATAGTGCCCCATCATTGGTGTCATTGGGGAGGGATAGTGCCCCATCGTTAGTGAAATACTGTCTCATTGGTGTCAGTGACCGGAATAGTCATTGGTGTCCATGGGAGGAATACCGTCCACAGAACCAGTTTAACACATAAGATTGTTCCTCTGTTATATGGCCAGACGTTTGAGGGCTCCTGATCATCACTCCTATGTGAGCTTGTTGGACATTCCCTTCCAAAACCATGACCTTTAATATGGAATTGCCCCCTTTTGTGGCTATAACATCCTCCACTCCTCCGGGACCTTTCCACAAGATGTTGGAGGGTGTCTGTGGGAATCTGTGCCCATTTGTGAGGTCAGGTTTTGATGTTGGATGAGAAGACCTGGTTCACAACTGGCGTTGTCTGTGCAGGACACTCGAGTTCCTCCACACTGGTCAGTCCATGTCTTTACGGAGCTGGCTTTGTACACGGGACAGTCATTTGGATCAGGTATACTTCTCGTGCTGAGCAGTAGAACCTCTGTGTTCACGGTGGAGCAGAGAGAGCAGCCACTTGGCATTGGACCTGGAAGCTAATGGAGATCATTGTAGTAGGGGGTGACCACTACACCGATTTCCAGCTTACACGGTTCCCACAGGTATGCTAAATACGGGGGCGGACTGACCATTCGAGCACTCGGGCACTGCCCGAGGGCTTGGGGTCAGTAGGGGGCCCCGTGAGATGCCCCTGGTACCTTTCATTGACTTTTTTTGGGTGTGGGCAAGGATGCAGGGGCCCCATGAGTTGTCAGTCCGTCCCTGGCTATATACATACAGTCCATCCAGAACGTATTCCCAGCGCTTCACTTTTGCCACATTTTGTTATGTTTCGGCCTTATTTCAGAATGGATTCAATTCATTTTCCCCTCCACATTCTACAAACAATCCCCCATAATGACAATGTGAAAGAAGTTCGTTTTCAAATCTTTGCAATTTATTAAAGATAAAAAAACCTCACCATGTACATAAGTCTTCCCAGCCTTTGCTCAGTACTTGTTGAAGCCCCGTTAGCCCCCATTCCAGCCTCGGGTCGTTCTGAGTACGATGCTACCAGCTTGGCACACCTATTTTTGGCCAATTTCTCCCGGTCTTCTTAGCAGGACCTCTCCAGCTCCATCAGGTTGGATGGGGAATGTCGGTGCACAGCCATATTCAGATCTCTCCAGAGATGTTCAATCGGGTTCAAGTCTGGGCTCTGGCTGGGCCACTCCAGGACATTCCCAGAGTTGGCCCGTAGCCACTCCTCTGTTATGTGGGCCATGTGCTTAGGGTCGTTGTCCTGTTGGTAGATGAACCGTCACCCCAGTCTAAGGTCCAGAGCGCTCTAGAATAGATATTCATCAAGGATGTCTCTGTACATTGCTGCATTCATCTTTCCTTTGATCCTGACTAGTCTCCCAGTTCCTGCCGCTGAACAACATCCCCACAGCATGATGCTGCCACCACCATGCTTCACTGTGGGGATGGTATTGGCCAGGTGGTGAGCAGTGCCTGGTTTCCTCCAGACATGATGCTTGGCATTCAGGCCAAAGAGTTCAATCTTTGTTTCATCAGACCAGAGAGTTTTGTTTCTCATGGTCTGAGAGTCCCTCAGGTGCCTTTTGGAAAACTCCAGGTGGGCTGCCATTTGCCTTTTACTGAGGTGTGGCTTCCATCTGGCTGCTCTACCATACAGGCCTGATTGGTGGAGTTCTGCAGAGATGGTTGTTCTCCTCTCCCCCCAGAAAAACACTGGAGCTCTTTCAGAGTGACCATCGGATGCTTGCTACCTTCCTGGCCCTTCTCCCTCGATCACTCATTTTGGCCAGGCGGCCCACTCTAGGAAAATTCCTGGGGGTTCCAAACTTCTTCCATTTACGGATGATGGAGGCCACTGTGCTCATTGGGACCTTCAATGCTGCAGAGATTTTTCTGTACCCTTCTCCAGATCTGTGCCTTGATACGAACTTCTTTCCCGTTGTCATTATGGGGTATTGTTTGTAGAATGTGGAGGAAAAAAATTAATTTAATCCATTTTGGAATAAGGCCGTAACATAACAAAATGTGGCAAAAGTTAAGTGCTGGGAATACTTTGTGGATGAGATGGTTTGGGTGATATTGGAGACAAGATGGGTGATGTAATTTGGGGCCGAGTTATAAATGGCTTTATATGTTATTGTTAATGTTTAGAATTTTATTTGTTGGGCAATGGGAAGCCAGTGAAGGGATTGGCAGAGAGGGATGGAGGACACTGAGTGGAGGGATTGGCAAAGAGGGGTGGCAGATATGGAACGGTTAGTAAGGTGGATGAGTCTGACAGCAGCATTTATGATAGACTGAAGAGGGGATAGCCTGCGATGAGGTCGGCCAATGAGGAGGGAGTTACAATAGCCAAGGCGAGAGATAACCAGTGAGGGAATAACTTGCTTAGTGGTTTCAGAGGTTAGGAACGGGTGTATCTTGGAGATGTTGCAGAGGTAAAGTCTACAAGGCTTGGACAGTTATTGGATTTGGGCCTGAAAGGAAAGATGGGAGTCTAGGATTACACCGGGTACCCTGGCAATGATGGTTATTGATCTTGATGGAGAAGTTGGGGGGGGGCACGGGCTGGAGGGAATAGTATGAGCTCAGTTTTGGAAAGCTTTAGTTTGAGGAAGTGGAGTGACCTCCATGCTGATATGTCACTTAGTAGGTTAGAGGTGAGGCGAGGAGTAGAAAGATAGATTTGTGTGTCATCAGCATAGAGATGGTACTTAAAGCCATTGGAGTTTATTAAGTGACCAAGGGAGGAGGTGTAGATGGAGAAGAGAAGGGGTCCAAGGACAGATCCTTGAGGGACCCCAACAGAATGAGGAAGTGGAGAGGAGGAGACCGAGTTATAGATGACACAGAACGAGCACTGTGATAGGTAGGAGGAGAACCAGGAGAGAGCAGAGTCTCAGAGGCCAAGAGAGGAGTTGTTTGAGGAGGAGGGGATGGTCAACAGTATCAAAAGCCACAGTCAAGTGGTAGCCGTTGGTTGGGATGAGTACGGAGTAGTGGCTATTGGTTGGGATGAGTACGGAGTAGTGGCCATTGGTTGGGATGAGTACGGAGTAGTGGCATTTGCTTGGGATGAGTACGGAGCAGTGGCCATTGGTTGGGATGAGTACGGAGCAGTGGCCATTGGCTGGGATGAGTACGGAGCAGTGGCCATTGGCTGGGATGAGTACGGAGTAGTGGCCATTGGTTGGGATGAGTACGGAGTAGTGGCCATTGGTTGGGATGAGTACGGAGTAGTGGCCATTGGTTGGGATGAGTACGGAGTAGTGGCCATTGGTTGGGATGAGTACGGAGTAGTGGCCATTGGTTGGGATGAGTACGGAGTAGTGGCCATTGGTTGGGATGAGTACGGAGTAGTGGCCATTGGTTGGGATGAGTACGGAGTAGTGGCCATTGGTTGGGATGAGTACGGAGTAGTGGCCATTGGTTGGGATGAGTACGGAGTAGTGGCCATTGGTTGGGATGAGTACGGAGTAGTGGCCATTGGTTGGGATGAGTACGGAGTAGTGGCCATTGGTTGGGATGAGTACGGAGTAGTGGCCATTGGTTGGGATGAGTACGGAGGAGTGGCCATTGGTTGGGATGAGTACGGAGGAGTGGCCATTGGTTGGGATGAGTACGGAGGAGTGGCCATTGGTTTTTGCAGTTAGTAGATCATTAGTGAGGTTTAGTAGGGTAGTTTTCAGTGGAGTGAAGTGAGCGAAAGCCAGACTGTAAAGGGTCAGGAAGGTTGTTGTCGGTGAGGGAGGAGCTCAAGCGATTGTAGACTAGCGTTCTAAGAGTTTAGAGGTGAATGGGAGCAGGGAGATGGGTCTTAAGTTGTTCAGGTTGGTGGGGTCCAGGGAGGGCTTTTTAAGTATGGGAGTGATGTGCGCATGGTTTAGAGGGGAGGGGAAGGCACCAGTAAAGATTGAAGATGTGAGTGAGGGAGCATAGGATGGAAGAAGAGGGTGACCGTAGTACCTGTGAGGGGACAGGATCCAGGGGCAGGTAGTGAGACGGGCTTCTGAGAAAACTTTAGTGACCTCTTCAGTAGTAGCGAGCTCAAAAGAGGAAAGTGTTGAGGGAGATTTAGTGTAAGGTATGCTAAGTGGGATGGATGTCTGTGTAGTTGAGATGCCCTCACGAATTGCATCAATCTTGTTTTTGAAATGATTTGCAATCTCGTAAGCAGTGAGTTAGGTATTGGGTGGGAGTGGAGGTGGAGAAAGTAGAGAGTTAAAAGTAGAGAAGACACGACGAGGACTGGATGAGAAGGTATTAAGAAGAGTGACAAAGTAGGCTTGTTTGGCAGCATGAAGGGAGGATTTGTATGTGAAGAAAGCAGATTTATATCGGGTGAATGCTTGCTGGGATTCATTTTTACGCCACAATCACTCCAGCGCACGACTATGTCGCTTAAGATTTCTGGTGTGGTCAGTCTGCCAAGGTTGTAATGGTCGGGGCCCGATGCTTCGTGTTGTTAGAGGAGCAAGTGAGTCTAATGTGGATGAAAGCGAACTGTTGTAGACAGCAGTGGCCAGGTCAGGGCAGGACAGGGGAGAGATTCTGTCACAGAGTTGGTCAGTTGCAGAGTGGAAAAGAGAAGGGTTCAAGTTGTGAAGGTTTCCGCAGGTAATTGTTTGCTGCTTGGAGGGATAGGTGTTTGAAGACGAGGAGGAGACTGTGAAGGTGATGAGATTGTGATCAGAGAGAAGAAAGGGAGTGTTTGTGAGGTTGTAGGGAGTGCAAAGATGGGAGAAAACAAGGTCTAGTGTATTCCCATCGGAGTGAGTGGAGGACGGTGTCCATCAGAGTGAGTGGAGGACGGTGTCCATCAGAGTGAGTGGAGGACGGTGTCCATCAGAGTGAGTGGAGGACGGTGTCCATCAGAGTGAGTGGAGGACGGTGTCCATCAGAGTGAGTGGAGGACGGTGTCCATCAGAGTGAGTGGAGGACGGTGTCCATCAGAGTGAGTGGAGGACCGTGTCCATTGTGGTAAGGCAAAAGATGAGGTTAGGTGGAAAGGTGGGATGTAGCCGGGTTGTTCACATTAATGGGGATGTTAGAATCTCCACAAATGATAGTGGGTAGTTCAGAGGAGAGAAAGTAGGGTAGCCAACCAGAGAAGTCATCAAGAAAGCGTGACCCCGGTCCAGGAGGCCGATAGATCACTGCAATCCTCAAAGAAATGGGAGAAAACAGCCGGATGCAGTGAGTCTGGAAAGAAGAGAAGCATAGAGAGGGAGGGTTAGGGGGGACTTGAAAGGTGCTCAGTGGGGATAGAAGCAAACCAACTCCACCACCTTTTTGACCACTGGGTCCGGTTGAGTGGGTCCAGAGAAGGCCTCCATAGGAAAGTGCTGCAGGGGAAGAAGAATCTGCTGCTTGGAGCAAGGTTTCTGTAATTGCAAGTAGGTTAAGGGAGCGGGAGACAAAAAGGTCATGGACAGAGGTGAGATTATTACAGACAGAGCGGGCATTCCAGAGCGCACATGAAAAAGGGAGGGTGGTTTTTAGGAACACAGGGATTGGGATTAAATTGAGTGGATTGCGGCTATTCCTGGAGGAAGGAGGGTGCTTGGGTGAGATACTGGAGGTTCAGGGTTCGGGGAGATATCCCCAGAGGTTAGGAGAAGGAGGAGGGTGAGGAAAGTAAGATGGGAGGGGATGTACATGAGCGCACATGCCTTCCTGTCCTGGTGTTTGGGTCAGCATGTGAGTAAAGTATCAGCAGGAGGTGATGAGAGCAGTAGTAGGGAGATGGTAGAAGTGAAGGTGAGATGTAACCGTTCAAGCAAAGAAATTAGATTTTGAGAACCGAGGATAGTAATATGAAAAGGAGGAGTAGAGGGGGCATATTAAAAGGTAGATGGAGTGGGAATCAGACTTGTAGGAGATGTTTGATCGAGGTTCTTTAGCCACCATTTTGAAAATCCTTTGTTGCAATCTTTGATCAATTTTTCTCTTTCGGCCACGTCCTGGGAGATTAGCTACAGTGCCATGGGCTGTAATCTTCTTGACAATGTTGCGCACAGTGGACACAGGAACATTAAGATCTCTAGAGATGGACTTGTAACCTTGAGATTGTCCGTGCTTTTCCACAATTTTTGTTCTCCAATCCTCAGACAATTCTTTGCTGCTCTTTCTCTCCTCCATGCTCCATGTGTCACACAGGGACACACAACAGAAAGGTGGAGGCCATTTCTCAGCATTGTACCTGGTTGCCAGTGTGATTTCTATATTGTCAGCACCCGGTCGTGGATACAGGGGAGTTGAATGGCAAATTACAGGAGCATCACAAACCTGGAATGCAATTATTTCTCACAATTTTGAGAACGAAAAAACCTGGGCCGCTGTTTGGAGACCACTGCAATATGGCCATAAAATGGTGGAATCACTCCAAATTGTTGAGTTCATGTATCTCAGTGAAGGGTACATTTTAAAACTCCATCATATGAAGACCTTGTAGACAATTGTGCTCTTCCAATCTTGTGGTAACAGTTTGGTGAGGACCCTTTTCTGTCCCAGCATGACTGTGCCCCTGTGTACAAAGCCAGCTCCATAAAAGCATGGTTTGACCAGTTTGGTGTGGAAGAACTCGAGTGTCCTGCACAGAGCCCTGACTTCAACCCTACTGAAGATCTTTGGACCTCAACCCTACCGGACACCTTTTAGACCTCAACCCAACCGGACACCTTTTAGACCTCAACCCAACCGGACACCTTTTAGACCTCAACCCAACCGGACACCTTTAGACCTCAACCCAACCGGACACCTTTTAGACCTCAACCCAACCGGCCACCTTTTAGACCTCAACCCAACCGGCCACCTTTTAGACCTCAACCCAACCGGCCACCTTTTAGACCTCAACCCAACCAGCCACCTTTAGACCTCAACCCAACCGGCCACCTTTAGACCTCAACCCAACCGGCCACCTTTAGACCTCAACCCAACCGGCCACCTTTAGACCTCAACCCAACCGGCCACCTTTAGACCTCAACCCAACCGGCCACCTTTAGACCTCAACCCAACCGGCCACCTTTAGAACTCAACCCAACCGGCCACCTTTAGACCTCAACCCAACCGGCCACCTTTAGACCTCAACCCAACCGGCCACCTTTAGACCTCAACCCAACCGGACACCTTTTAGATCTCAACTCAACCGGTTGGGTTGAGGTCTAAAAGGTGTCCAGTTGGGTTGAGGTCTAAAAGGTGTCCAGACACCTTTTAGACCTCAACCCAACTGGACACCTTTTAGACCTCAACCCAACCGGAAACCTTTTAGACCTCAACCCAACCGGACACCTTTTAGACCTCAACCCAACCGGACACCTTTTAGACCTCAACCCAACCGGACACCTTTTAGACCTCAACCCAACCGGAAACCTTTTAGACCTCAACCCAACCGGAAACCTTTTAGACCTCAACCCAACCGGACACCTTTCAGACCTCAACCCAACCGGACACCTTTCAGACCTCAACCCAACCGGATACCTTTTAGACCTCAACCCAACCGGACACCTTTTAGACCTCAGCCCAACCGGACACCTTTTAGACCTCAGCCCAACCGGACACCTTTTAGACCTCAACCCAACCGGACACCTTTTAGACCTCAACCCAACCGGACACCTTTTAGACCTCAACCCAACCGGACACCTTTTAGACCTCAACCCAACCGGACACCTTTTAGACCTCAGGAAGTCATTGTTTTCAGTTTTTCACAAGGGGTGTGCTACCAAATCTTACATTGAGGGTGCCAATAATTTTCAGTCCATTTTTGGGGTTTTGCGTGGAATGATTTGGCTTTTTGTTTCTCCACTTTTTTTGTGTCCTACCAATACGAAACAAACATGAGAATGCCGAAGCATTTGTAATTGAAGCAAGTTTTTGGGTGAAGTGGTGCGTTATCTGACAGAAATGCAGGGGGGGGTAAGATTTTTGGTCCTGACTGTAAATACATAAATAAAAAAATTGATAAATGAAAGAGACCCTGTCACCTCCCTTTTTTAAGCTGAATACAACAATGAGAAGTCAATGTCTTCACTAAGCCCCTCTGTTGGATGATCAAGATGGGCCCATTTTCAGCTCCAGTCGTCACCCCCTCCCTTCACCTATGATCTTAGCAGGCATGTGCAGGATCCCCGCATTGCTCCGGTGACAGATCTATTGCTGTTGGGGCCACCAATGTCAGAGATAAGATAGCGACACCCAGCAGTGAACCAATCAATGGAGGCAACACGTCTTTAGATACTGGGGCTGCCATGGGGGTTAGTCGAGGAAACAAAAATCAGGTTGAAACGGCTGGGACAGGGTCTCTTTAAACTGCAGGCTAATCGGCTTTAAATTAACATCCCATCACGGCGTGCACAACTGCTTCCATCAGCAGCTTATCACACAGGTGTTCCACTCCCTGACCCGGTCCCTTTAACTGTCCAGGCTGCCTGTGCTCTCTCCAAGCATCAGTATGGAAATCGATGCATCTCGGCCCTCTATCCGGTTTCAGCGGCGGGCGGGGGGGGGGGAGAAATGATAATGAGTGGCGTGCAGGCGAAGGACTAAAGTCGAGGAGCTTCCAAAACATGACATTTCAGGTTTCCTGCTGATGTGAAAGTTGCAAAATGAAAATAATTTTTCTGAAAACACGAAGCAACTCCAATCGAGATGAAGATCGGCTGCAGGTTTAAGAAACTTTTTTTTTTTTTTTTTTTTTTTTGCAGGACAGAACGTCGTCTTCAGGAGAGTCGTAAAGCATTCAAGTCAGTCGATGTGATGCCGGCGCTACTCGAAAAACACGACAAATTAGGCTAAAAATAGAAATTCACTGAATACAGATCCAGCAAAGTTTTCATTGTGCA